GCATGTGTAACAGGCTTCCGACTCCCTTTAGAATGGAGTCCAAAATTCTCAGCCGGCTTTATGATCTTTCTCAATCATGAAGCATGCACCTCCTGCCACGCGAGCCCCAGCCACACTGGCCTTTCCAGCTCTTCCTTCAGTGAGTCCCGGCTGAGATCATCTGTTCCCTACCTAGGGCCTTCTCAGAGCGCAGCTGAAATCCTGTTCGCACTCTGAAATGCTGTCCACTTGCTATTCTTTTCTCTTTCTGCCCACCTAATTTCACCAGAGTTGAAGTGGATTACAAAAACAAACATTTATCCATTCAAGCAGTCACGTGAGTATTCATTCAACACTACGCTAGATACTGCTCTTGGTGCAGGGGTTACAGTGGCGAACAAGACAGAAGCAGTCCCTGTTCTCAGGAAGCTTACATGGTAGAAGAGGGAGAAAGTGAATCATTAAGTAAATGAGTAATCAAGATGATATCACGGAGCACTTAGTACCACAAGGAAACTGAAAGAGAAGAGTGTGAAATTAGGCAGCAGGGAGAGGGTCTGTCTTTAACCTAGTAGTCAGGGAGGGCCCCTCTGAGGAAGTGGCAGCTGAGCTGATGAGAAGGAGCCCATCCAGCAAAGAGAGAGGAAATGAAAAGGACTGAGGGAAAGAACATGCTTGGCACAGTCACAGAACAGCAAGGTATCTGTGTGGCTAGATCATAGTTACTGTGGTCAAAGGGAAAATCAGGAGCAGGTGCAGGGGCTCACGCCTGTAATCCCAACATTGAGAAGTCGAGGTGGGAGGATCATTTGACCCCAGGAGTTCGAGACCAACCTGAGCAACACAGCAAGACCTTCTCCAAAAAATGAAAATAAAAATAAAAATCAGCTGGGTGTGGCAGCACCAGCTACTCGGGAGACTGAGGCAGGAGGATCACTTGAGCCCAGGAGTTCAAGGCTACAGTAAGCTGTGATCGATTGCACCACTGTCCTCCAGCCTGAGCAAAAACAGAGTGAGACCTTGTCTCAAAAAGGAAGGAAGAAAGGCAGGAAGGAAGGCAGTAAGGAAGGCAGGCAGGCAGGCACGAAGGAAGGAAGGAAGGAGACAGAGAGAAAGAAAGAGAGAGATAGAGGAAGGGAGGAAGGAAGGAAGGAAGGAAGGGCAGGAGGGAGGGAGGGCAGGAGGGAGGGAGGGAGGGAGGGAAATCAGGAGGCACACAGAGGCCTGATGAACAACATGGGTCCTGCCCGGTAGGGAGTTTTAAGCAAGGGGGTAACAGAACCCAATTTCCCTTTTTCACTCTTTTGAGAGAAAGGGTCTCACTCTGTCACCCAGGATGAAGTGCTGTGGTGCGATCATAGCTCTCTGCAGCCTCCAACTTCTGGGCTAAAGGTAACCTCCCACCTCAGCCTCCCAAGTAGCTAGGACTATAGGCGTGCACCACCATGCCCAGCTAATTTTTTTAATGTTTTTGTGACAGGGTCTCACTAGGTGCCCTCAGCAATGCTCCTGCCTCAGCCTCCTGAAGCACTGGGATTACAGGTGTGAGACACCATACTCGGCCTTCCTTTTTTAAAAAAACACCTTCTGACTTTTCATTGAGTGTCCATTTGTACACTTTTGATTTTTTACCCTAAGCAGATTTTCGCTTAAAAAAATACATCATCAATTCTAAGATGCATCCTTTCACATTTTAACATTCCTGAAATCAGGATGCATCTAACAGTTGGTGATGTGTCAGCTTAAGTGTCAGAACTTTTCCTTTCTTACTGATAAATAAATAATGGTGATTCTTACTGTCACAGCCTTGTAGGTTTGATAAAACAAGGCCATTTTTAAACAAATATTTTTGTCAGTTTTAAGATCACCTATCAGTTTGCCCAAATTTTCATTCACATTTTTATTCAAATTCTCCTTGCCCGGCATGATGGCAAAATAAAAAACTATAAAGAACCAGAGTAAAAAATTTACCGACGAGACACAAAGTTAAAAGATAAGTAAAAGAACGAGAAAAAAGTTCAATAAAAAAATGTTGACAACAGACCTTTATCAAAGAACACATCTATGTGTTATGAAGGGTTCCTATAAACTGAAAAGGAAAGAAATTACAAACTAATGTTAAAAGGAAATGAAAAACTTTACAAGAGGTCCCAACATCCAATAAAACGAAGGAAAGATGCTCCATCTCACTAGCATTCAAAGTTACATACATTTTTTTTAAAGTAATAGGGCATCGGTGGGGCATGGTGGCTCATGCCTGTAATCCCAGGACTTTGGGAGGCCGAGGCAGGAGGATCACAAGGTTAGGAGTTTGAGACCAGCCTGACCAAGATGCTGAAACCCCGTCTCTGCTAAAAATACAAAAAAAATTAGCCGGGTGTGGTGGCGCTTGCCTGTAATCCCAGCTGCTCGGGAGGCTGAGGCAGGAGAATTGCTTGAACCTGGGAGGCAGAGGTTGCAGTGAGCCGAGATCAAGCCACAGCACTCCAGCCTGGGTGACAGAGGGAGACTCCATCTCAAAAAAATAAATAAAATAAAATAAAATAATAAAATAAAATAAATAAAATAAAATAAAGATAAACAATAAAATAAATAAAATAAAATAAAATACAACAAAAGAAAATAAAAATAAATAAAATAAAATAAAATAATAGGGCATCATTTTGGCCTACCACACTGGTAGAAATTTTTTCTTTTGGATAGACTCTCATCTCACTCTGTCACTCAGTCTGGAGTGCAGCAACATGATCTCAGCTCACTGCAACCTCCGCCTCCCAAGTTCAAGCAATTCTCCTGCCTCAGCTTACCAAATAGCTGGGATTACAGGCACCCGCCACCACACCCAGCTAATTTTTGTATTTTTAGTAGAGACGGGGTTTCACCATGTTGGCCACATTGGTCTCGAACTCCTGACCTCAGGTGATCCACCTGCCTTGGCCTCCCAATGTGTTGGGATTACAGGCATGAGCCACCACGCCCAGCCAGACTGGTAGAAAAAATTTTAAATCACAATACCCAGTGTTCAGGTGCTATGGTTTGAATGTGTCCCTCCAAAATTCGTGTGTTAGAAACTTAATCCCTCATGCAATAGTGTTGAAAGGTAGGACCTTTAAGAGGTGATTCAGTCCCAAAGAATGAATTAATACCACTATCTTGGGATTATGAGTGGGTTCTGAGTTTGCACTCCTTCACCTCTCTCTCACACAGTCATGCTCTCTTGCCTTTCTACCTTCCTCCATGGGATGACACAGCAAGAAGGTCCTGGCCAGATGTGGGCTCCTCAACCTCAAACTTCCCAGAACTGTACTAAGTCTCTGTTCTTTTTATAAAGTACCCAGTCCCAGGTATTCTGTTATAGAAGCACAAAATAAGCTAAACCAGAAAACTGGTACTGAGAAGCTGAGAAGAGGGGCTGTGGCTGCAAGTACCTGAAAACGTGGAAGCAGATTTGGAACTGGGTAATGGGTAGAGGTTGGAAGAATCTGGAGGAGCGGGCTAGAAAAAGCCTAGACTCCTTGCCACCCCTGCCTCAGAGAACACTTTCCCTCCTCTCATGTCCCTACTTGTTGTAATAAAAGGACGTGGCTCATCTAGTCACCTGATGCCCACAGTATTACCTGTGCTGACCATTGGTGAAGGCTGTCCTCTCTGCACGTTCTCTGATCTGAATTACTAATAAACCCCTTTAACTTCTCTCAGACAAAAGTGAAAATAACGGAAAATGGTGGTAGAGATTTACCCATAATTTGAAAGGCTCAGAAATGGGAAAACCATTGTTAAGACACAATCATAATTAAAAGTTGAGGGAAAAAACGGGGAAAATTGACTGCCAGGGCCAAGCAGGTAACAGAATTGAGTGAAGCAGGTCAAGTGTAAGATACCAGAGAGTGGTGGGGACAGAACTGGAAGACGGCAACTCCTCTAACTGAGGCAGACACTATTTAGTTGTTCCCTTGTGGAAATCATGGCCTAATGTTACCGCGTCTTCTGATTTTCCAAGGAAAGTTAGAAATCGAGATTTTTCATGAGAAGTTTATTTTTGAAATGTTGGCAACTAACTCAAGGTCTTTACAGAAAGACTGAAGATTAGAGACCTAAGGACATCTAAGAAGAGTCATACAGAAAGTCGTTGAAAATTCCTTCGTGGTAACCCCAACACAAATGTAAATGTATCAGCAAAAGTCTACTGTAGACTAAAAATAAAATTCTAAGCCCCCCAGCCACCTGAACCAAGAGGATCCCAGAGCGACCTTGAAAACTGAGTTCTTGGCCACGTGGGGATGGAAGGTAAGATGCCTCCTTTAAACCCCTTGCTTACTAACTGCCTGGAGGCGTTCTTCCCTAAGGGCTAAACAGCAACCAGCCCTTTCAGAAGACTCTACTGCTGCTATCATCCAACCCAGCTGCCTGACTGCTGCCCCTCTCTTTGGCCACTTCAAAACAGTCAACCAGCATTTCCTTCCTGATAAGAGACCACAGAACAGGGAGTGGTTCTGGCCAGTCTCCGAAAGATGCGGGTTTTTGTGTCCTCTGCCTCACCTTTTGATGTCAGAGGGCCAAAACCTCCACCCTTGGATCATGCTAACACAGCCATTTTTTTTATACATGGGACCTATGATGGGGTGTGAAGCTCAACCACACATGCACACAGTTGTCCTTTCATAAATATTCATGACTCCTCCTATAGCTCATTAAATATGTATGTTCGCCCACCCGGCTGAGCATAAATTCCTCCTCCTTTTGCCCCTCCTTCAAAGTATCTGTTGCTGGCTTCTGGCAGGAAGCTGTGCTTCCCAGCCTGTTAGAATGGCCTCCCTGCAGGCTGCAACCCTCTCTGAGAAAGCAAGCTCTCCTTTCCAAATTTATGAACCTCATCATTCTTCAGTTGACAATACATTGTATAACACCACACACATACACACACACACACACACACACCCCCAACACAAACCCCATCTTCACAAAAGGGGTGGGAAGCAAAAATACTGATACAGTCAATTTTGCATTAGCTTGATACTTGCCCATCTGAAGTGTGTCCTCTGAATGCAGTTCTAGAATGGGGCTGGATAGGGGAGGCTTGCATCTATGGGAAGATGGGAAAGAGGAGAAAGATGAGTCTATTTGCTCTTCAATTTACTCATGAGTTCATTTACTGCACAAATGCAGACACTCACTAGCAAAATGGCAAATATATATTTGCTATTGTTCAAAGCAGGGGCCCCTCTAAAAATGGCTTCAGTTTAATCACTTTTGACCCTACACACATACAGTAAAACTTCAGTGGACACAGGTCTCAGGTGACATTGGCTAAGCATTACACTTGGCATCCAATGTCCAAATCACAAACTGATCATGAAGTATTTAGACTTAGAAATAGCTAAAGATAGCCTAACAAGAATTTTTCAAACGTTCCAATGTTTTTTTGGGCCATCTCTAGTTTGCTGCCTATTCTCAATCAAATTTTAAAAGTTACCTGTTATTTGTCACAGGTAGCCAGAAGAATTGACTCTTACACAAACTTAAAGTTCAGTAACATTTATGTGGTAACTCCCCCAATCCAGAATAGGCAAAAAATCAGAAATGAGATATGCATCAATATCCCAACAACCATAACCAAACACCAACACACTTTCACAAACCACCTCTGGACTTAACCAAGAGCCAGTTACTCTTATTCCACTCAGAGTTCTAACCAGCCAGTACTTTCCAGTTCCCAGAGCATCAGAATTGCCATGTATCACTTAAAAAGCATATTTAATATAAAATTAAATATATTAAATATAAAAGAAAAGAAAAGGTAAACTCAGGAGGCACATAAGGCCTGATCCATTATTTTCATGGATCCAGAAAAAAATAAAGCTTGAAAGTTATTTCCAATTTGTAAGGATCAGACTTTTCTAAAGGATGGCTGAAACACTTTAACGTTTACTCACATTTTTTTCAATATAAGAATTAGGGTTTTATTTAAATGACTAAGTTAAAAGGGGGGATGGGGAGGGACTGTAGTTAAAACTATTAAGATGCGGGCCGGGCACAGTGGCTCACACCTGTAATCCCAGCACTTTGGGAGGCCAAGGCGGGCAGATCACCTGAGGTCAGGAGTTCGAGATCAGCCCAACCAAAATGGAGAAATCCCATCTCTACTAAAAATACAAAATTAGCCAGGCGTGGTGGCACATGTCTGTAATCCCAGCTACTAGGGAGGCTGAGGCAGGAGAATCGCATGAACCCAGGAGGCAGAGGTTGCAGTGAGCTGAGATTGCACTCCAGCCTGGGCAACAAGAGCAAAACTCTGTCTAGAAAAAAAAAAAACACAACAATTAAGATTCCTTGATCTTGAGCTTGAAGTCACAGTTTGAATCTCAGCTCCACCCTTTCCTAGATAGAAGACTTTAGGCAAATTAACTTCTTTAAGCCTCAGTTTCCTTATCTGCAAAAAGGGGATAACAGCAGCACTTAATTCATGAGTGTCTTGTGAGGACTGAATGAAACAATCCAAGTGAAGCACTTAACATGGTACTAGGCTGTGAAAGCTCTCAGCACACATTAGTAAACCTGTCATCTGCAACTCTGTAAACTCCCTGATACTGGACTCGGAATGGCACCCATAACATCTCATATGTAATAACTAACTTCAGTCTTCCATTAATTCAGTCACATATACAAAAAAACCACTTACTGTACATCTATTCTGGGACAGGTAACTTACTTTTTTTTTTGAGACAGAGTCTTGCTCTGTCACCCAGGCTAGACTGCAGTGGTGTGATCATGAATCACTGCAGCCTCGACCTCCTGGGCTCAAGTGATCCTTCTATTTCAGCCTCCCAAGTAACTGAGACTACAGATGCACCTACCATGCCTGGCCAATTTTTGTATATTTAGTAGAGACGAGGTTTCGCCATGTTGCCCGGGCTGGTCTCGAACTCCCGGGCTCAAGCAACCCACCAGCCTTGGCCTTCCAAAGTGCTGGGATTACAGGTGTGAGCCACTGTGCCCAGCCAAGGCCAGGTAACTTTCTACATGCCCTTGGAATAAAGTAGTAAACAAAAGACACACACATTCAGATTATGAAAACATGGGGTCACTTTTTAAATGTTCCAGGAAACTACATTAATGGCTGGAGAGTCATAATGAAAGAGAACAGGAATGGGATACGGCTCCTTCTTCATGTTTAACCAGATCCATTTAAAGAATCCCAGGAACTAGCCTTAGGAAATCTAAATGTCAAACCAAGGCGGCAGAGTGTCTCATTCCAGGAAGGAACACTGAACAACTGATTTACAGCAGGGGTGTCCAATCTTTTGGCTTCCCTGGGCCACACTGGAAGAACTGTCTTGGGCCACAAATACACGAACACTAACAACAGCTGACGAGCTTTAAAAAAAATAAGTCACAAAAGAATCTCATAATGTTTTAAGAAATGTTACGTAATTGTGTTGGGCTGCATTCAAAGCAGTCCTGGGCCGCATGTCACACGCCCGTATGTCACCCACCGGCAGGCCTGGGGTTGAACAAGCTTGATTACAACCTTGTTGCCTCTGTCCAGCCTACCAGGTGGTCCATTAACTAAGATAACCATCAGCCACTAGATACACTGACCCGCATCCCCTACCCCTCACATGCTTTGCCCAGCCCAGCCTACATGCCCTCTCCTGATGTCAGTTACCAGGCTTCGCTAATAAAATGTCTCTCCCGGCTCTTTCAGGGAGCCAGTCGCTGAGCCCTCGAGCCTCTGCTGTCCCCCTGTGCGCTCAAGCACAAGCCCCCAGCTAAAAGCCTTGTCTGGGAAATCTGCTTGGTGTCATAACAGATTATCCGGTGAGCCAGGCAGGAGCACAAGGAGCAACTACCCGCCCCGCAGGGGAGGCTTATGAGCCAGTGGGCCAGAGGGAGGCCCCATTGATTCAGCACTGCCACCGCGACTGGTGAGTTTTCCTCTGGTCTCCGAGAGATTCCTCGCCACCCCCGCCCCAGACAACGTTTTCCCTTCCCTCACGTCCCCTATTTGTTGTCTTTGTCCTTCTTCCTTTCTGCTTTCCTTCCTTCACTTTTAACTTCATTGGCTCAACCTGAATAGACACCCGCGCAGGATGGACTGACGCGGCTGGCAGGAACTATCAGGCACCCTGGCTTCGGCCTCTGTCATCTTCAAGTCTTTCAGTGCTTTCCTTCCCTCTGCCACACCTGGTGGGAACGGAAACCTGTGAGCTCTTCTCTGTCTGTTCAGTGTTTGAGCCTAAGGACTCTGGGTGCTGCCTTTGTGTGGGGAGAATTGACGGCACATGGGGCTGGAGTTTGCCTAGCTCATGCCCTGATCTGTTTTTCTTTTGACTTATTGACTGTCATTCGTTTACTACCAAATGCAGGACACTGGTCAGCAGAACCCGGACCTCGTGTAAGGCTGAAGAATAAAAAGAAACCATCCAAGCTAGCACTCTGTTTTGGGGAGAAGTTCTCTTCACTGGCCACACCTGCCCTCTCGTGTGACCTGTATTGTTGTGCTGTGCGGGGCTGGGAGCCAACTCTCTTGTCGCCTGACACCTATGCTTGCACCCTGCCCCTGGCCCTTTACTAAGACAAGCAGACACAGGGGCTACAGTCATGGGCAATGCCCCAGGCATCTTCCAAGACTCACGTCTGGGATGTATCATTTCTAAATGGAAGGAATCCAAATCCGATGGCTTAAAGAAAAAGAAACTCCAGCCTGGGAAACACAGGAAAACTCCACCTCTACAAAAAACAGGAAAAAGGAGCCAGGTGTGGGGGTGCCTGCCTGTGGTCCCAGCTACTCGGAAGGCTAAGGCAAGGATCGCTTAAGCCCAGGAGGTTGAGGCTGCAGTGAGTTGTGGTCGCACCATAGCATTCCAGCCCGGGCAATGGAGTGAGACTCTGTCTCAAAAAAATAAATTTAATTAAAAAAAAAAAAAGAAAGAAACTGATTTTCCTCTGTAATACAACCTGCCCTAGTACACATTAGATCAAGAAAAACGGCCATGGGTGGAAGTGGATCTCCTAGTTTTAACACTATCTTACAGCCGGATCTATTCTGTGAATGGACAGAGAAATGGGGAGAGATACCTAGATACAAGCTTTTATGAAGTTATGCTAGGACCCAAAGCTACTGGATTCTTGTCAGGTGTATGTGGCCCCTATTTCCAGGTTCCTCCTGAAGGAACTTGAGGAAGTGGACCTCCACAGCCTAAGGCTCCCGGAATTCCCTCCCTATCCTAAGCAGGCCTCCTGGGGAGGGGACCCCTGTGCTGTCCGCAATAGTGCTCTAATCGGACTCCAAACAGGCACCCGCTTTTGCTTCCCCACTGGCCCAGGGCTGTTTTCCCTTCAGAGAAACGGATGGAAACAGGGGACGGACAAGGGTGCACGTTCCTTTTTTGGTGGTGGATCTAGGATTATGTAAAAAACACTTTGGTAGACCTTCAGAGGATCCTGGTAAGTTTAGAGATGAATTTGTTAGACTAAATTTCACCTTTTCATTGATGTGGCGGGATGTTATGGTCACTTTGCAGTGTTGATGAAAAGCAACACATATTTGAAAAGGCTAAGGAATATGCCAATATCTAGGTAGTCACTAAACACCAATATGCAGTCATCCGTGTAGGGCGAGATGCAGTCCCAGGCACAGTCTCTATGTGAGTGAGACTATGGAGAAAACCTAGATAAAGCTAGAATAAGCCACTCTGTCCCCTGCCTGACTGAAGGAAGAAGGAAATGTATAGTCAAACCTGTACACTATGACAGGGTCAAGAAAAGTACCCAGAGAAAGGCGGCGATCCCAGTAGTCTTTCTCAATGGAATCCCTGAAGCGCTTGAGAAATGCACCCATGCAGACCTGGGGGCAGCAGAGTGGAGGCATCGTGTGCCGTGCATTTTATCCTTCAGCCAGCTCTGGACATTAGAAGGAAATTACAGAAAATTTGGAGGCCAGACCCCAGGCCCTGATGTTGACCTTGGCAGAGGAGGCTTTTAAGGTCTTTAATAACAGGCAGGACAGAGATGGCAGATGAGAAGAGGAGACTGACCAAAACAGCAGAGCTTCTGGCTGCCCTAATTCATCCACCACCTGAG